CACGTACCATCCATTGAGCAACTGAGGCCTGGTCTTGTTGAGATCATCGAAGAGGCTGGTGGAAGCAAGCAATTCTTCCGTAGGACACCCCCATACTTGTAAATGATCCTGGGCTAATTCAAGACGCGTTTAGTATCCGGAGGATTCGCGACTGTGCAACCAAACTCGGAATTGAGCATCAACGCTGTTGAGGGTTACGCTCTGGAAGATTTCAGCATCGAGGCTATTCGATCACAATTGTCAGAGGCACAGAAGATTGCTGGAGGAAGTGGAAGTGAGCAAGACATTGCTGAGGCAAAGATTGAGATTGAGGTGAGTTCCATAACAAGATACTGAGAGAGTCTGTCTTGAAGTACTATGTTAATCGGTCTAGGTCCTGGAGAGCTTGCAAGCAGCTCTTAAGTAGAGGAGTTACCTGGTTCGAATGGCAGAAGTATAGATCGGGTGCTTATGTATATCATTGATCGTTTTTCAAATACACCCTGTGAACACTGACAATCAACAAGGCAGCTGTGACTTGTGGTTCCTGCCCGTCGATTTGCTCCTTCCCTCACTGCGTACTAAAGTCAATATCTTGTCCGCGGCAATGATCTTTCCTTACCACCATCTCTTCCGAATTCAATTCATTATTTGTCTTTTGCCAGGCACATTTGCCCGGCGATCGTTCTAGATCCTAATCTTTATTGTGCACATAGGATACCACGGCGCTATCAGATGCGTCCTATGTCTTAATCCAGCAGCATTGTCCTATGTCTTAATCCAGCAGCATTGTATAGATATCGGACATGAACGGTCCACCGACAACGACCGGGCAGACTCCTGACTACAGCCGTAATTCGATCAACTCGCAGCTGAGTACGGGAGGCCGTCCTGGCAATAGCATACGTCCTGGAACGGTCGCATCTCGCATTTCCACCTTACAGGGTCTCCATAAACCTACGACCCAACGCACGTCTCCACTTCCGCAGTCGATTCAACCACGTTTCCAACAAGATGGCAATGATCGGAAAATAAGAGCCGAGGAACTTCGAGCTGGAAAGTCCAAAAGATCGATCTATTCGGAGCTCGGCACTTCTCGAGCGATAGGCAACAGGACGAGGGGTCTTCGTTCAAGGGCTAACGGTTCTGGTTCGAAACGTCTGGGCGATCAAGGAGTCTCATACTTCCACAGCCTATCCACGGGCGTCGTTCTCGGAAGCCAGCTGAGTCTCGTATCACCAAATTGCAGCCCCAAACTTCCAGAAGATCCTGTGTCAGACGCACAAGAAGTGAAGGCTTCACCACTACAAGATGTCAATAATACGAGAAGACCTACTCCAGTTCAGATTACTGCTATCAGTCAGTCAGAGACCGAAGTGGACAATGCAGGACGACGATGTGTCGATATCAATTCTCATCCAGAAGACACTGAAGTTCTTGATGCTTCCTTTTCGACCACCTCTAGTATGCAGCGGCAAAGCGTACGGGATCTGTTCGGGCAATATGGTATCGATACTCCTGCTAGTCTTCTACCTGAGGAGAAAGTACCTCAGGATGTCGAAAATATAGCAACGACGACCGGAAAGCAAGTGAACTGCCATGTCTGCAAGGCAGAAAACAAGTTAGCCGAAAAAGAATGCTGTAAAGAATGTAAACACGTTCTATGCCGAGATTGCAAAATTCTATCTTCAGCGACTCTCATACCGGCCGAGTCCAGCACTCTTGATGTTGTGGTAAGTGGAATCTGTACAATGTCATCGCGCCGGATGTACCCGAATAATTATGCTGACCAACCGGGTAGGCTGTTACTCAGAAGCTCAAAGAGGTACGAAGTCGGAAGGCCGAGAAGGTGCCTTTGGATGGTGCAATATCACCTGCAAACCGTTACAAGATATTGAAGATCCAAGCAGTACGGCCTTCTAGCGCAAAGAAAGCCTATACAAGGTCTTCTATCCATGCTGAACAACCGGCTCAGGTGCCGCCTCGACGTGCTATCTGCCACGATCCGCCTACTGGATCCTCCAAAAGCAACCCACCAAGGCTTGAACGTCTGTTGTCCAAAGTAGAAACAACAAGCTACTTATCCACGCGACCTTTCTCGCTCAGTGGTGCATTGCTAGATGGCCCTCAAGGACCTCGCCTTCAGAGAAATCGAAGAACTACTCACGATTACAAGATTCGACATCATCACCACAGGCGAAGTCATCTGGCTCATCATCGAAGTCACTACTCATCTGATGAGTGTGACCAGAGCATTGGCTGTGTATCTCCACATGGCGTTGACCTTCCTGGAGATGTTCGACACTCTTCGTACTCTCACAGGGTTTCTCAATCTCAGGTTACTTCTCAATCTCAGGTTCCTTCTCAATCTCAGGTTCCTTCTGAATCTCAGGTTCCTTCTCAATCTCAGGTTCCTTCTCAATCTCAGGTTCCTTCTCAATCTCAGGTTCCTTCTCAATCTCAGGTTCCTTCTCAATCTCAGGTTCCTTCTGAATCTCACACGCCTTCTGAATCTCAGTCGCTTTCTTCGCGTGCGGTGGCCCCTCCACCATCTTCTTACTATCGTCCGCAATCCTCTGGTCAACCTAAGGCACCAACTTCTCATTCGCGCCAAGAGCAGTCAAGGGCCTCTCGCCGGTCACGAGAGCAAGCATCGTCTTCCACTTCAGCGGATAGCGTTGACATCCATGAAGGACACGAGGTACCACGAGTAGTAGAGTGTCGTGGGTATCCTAGAACTGGTCACGCTCGCCACAATAGCCCGTTCAATAACGGTATCGTCGGCGTCTGCCAGCATTGCCTCGATGATTGTACATGTGCAGCCTGTCAAGACACTCATCACAACGTTCGATGCTGCACACATCCAGATCATAAACCAATGCTGCATCATCATACAATCGGAATTTCGAATCGCAGAGGAGGATCAAATAATTCTCCAGAACCATGCCCCGACAGTGGGTGCAGGTCGAGGGTACGATCGGAAGGCCTTTCATTCCCAGAGCAAACGCTTGGGGAAGAAGGACGGCATTCCTCCCACACAACTGGTCACTCATGCGACGATCATAGAAGCCATGATGACAGGGAGTTCCATGTAGCTCAGTGGAAAGGCGGATCACATAGCCCAAGTATTGGCATACCTTCGCGGCATGATTGCAGGTCTCCATATAGGCATGAGGACCGGTTAGAGCGGTCAATATCAAGGCGTCCTGCTGATCATGATAAAGTTCTTGACGACCATGGCTCTGATGATCGCGAGATCAATGGCGAAGTGGACGAACTGCAGAAGTTAAATGTTTTGAGTGAGGTTGAGGATGAGCTTGTCAAGCTCTACAAACGCGTCAGGCCAAAGGCTCCTGGTATGAATTTGAACCGAGACGAAGAAGTGCATCTTGAAAACTTGTATGAAGGGGTCAGACCGATTTCACCATATCGTCCAGAGCGTGTTAAAAGTCGGTCCAATCCAGGACGTGTTAAAAGTCGATCCAATCGAAAGAAAGGCAGGAAGCGTGTCAAAGACGTGGTTCGGTTTGTGGAGCAAAATGGCAGGCTACCACGCTCACAGAGTGGCATGTCAGATTTACGCAACGTATTTGAGTGCGGCGAGCACAATCTAATTGACGCCGAAGTTGCACCTGATACGAAGATTCGAACCCATATGCTAGGTGACCTCGAGTGTGTCGCTGCTATCCCGGGCCAAGTTGAACGTCCATTCCGTGGTGCCAAGCACAATGCTAAGGCAAACTCTGAGCAGCAGGAGGAAAACTTGGCCCAAAAAGGCCAAGAGTCTAGCAGCAGCTCTAGTGCTGAGTGTAGCAGTACCGAAGATGAATCTCCTGTGTTGCCAACGCATTGTGGCTCGAAACACTATAGCCCTAGAGCTCGTATGCCTGCAGGCTATACACCAGCACCTGGCTCTCAACATCATCATGCGCCTGAAATATCTCAACCACGGGATCAAAGTCATCAGAAGTCTAGCGGTCACTCGCGTGCAGATAGAAATTGTTCAGGATGTGACTCCGGATATGATCGTATCGATCATCAAACCGACCCTCAGCATGGAACACCTACGCAACATCACCACGGGTATCAAGATGGTGGCTACCGACATGGCCTCGACGAAGTAGACCGTCACCTTGGAGAACAAAAAATCGCTTACAGTCGGGCAAGCCGCAGTTCCGAGCATTATAATGGCGATGACAAAACTGCTAGATATGATACTTACAGCCGACGTGAGCGCCAATCGGGTCACCATCAACACGATGAAGACTCACGATACTATGCTGAGGGCCGCCATTCTGTTCATCAACAACAAACTGATAACCACGAATGCGTATGGAAAAGAAGATTCATGAAGGCGAAGGCTCCAAGCACTAGCTCGGCTACGGAGGATGATTTGCAGGGTATCACCGTTATATTGAAATTTGGTAATCGTGAGGATGTGGTTGTGAATACGGATTTGCGAAGGGGAGAGACTGTGAACTTCGATGTATGAAACGTGGTAATAGGGGAGAAGAATGGACAAGAAGGAAGGCGGAAGAGAGGGGAAAGATAGATTGGGACTTTGGCTTGCAATGAAATATTTGTTACTTCTCACTCTGTTTTGAAAGACTACCTATTGAACGAACAGTAAGGGGCTTGGCTTTTTTCATCTACCGCAAGGTGACTTGGAAAGCTTCAGGCTAAACCAAAAGGAGGTGAATCGAATTGCTGGACAGAGCCGGAGCTAAGTGTGAGACAAACAGAAGACCTCGCTCAGGCCAATTCTCAGGTAGCTAGCTCTCTTTGTTGTTCCTTCTATCTGTGCCTAGTAATTCTCACTTGTTGATGGGCTATTTGTTCAATATGCTACTTTGGGTGGGCTCCTTCCGTACGGAGTACACGGTCTAACAGGTTCCGGCGCCACACCTACAGCACCGATATCAAAAGGTATAGCCCACCACCACCTTCAGGGCGAACCGTCATGTCACAACATCACAATTTAACGACGACACCTCATAAATTTCAAAAGCAAAAACTTCAGACGACCCAGACGGGACTCGAACCCGCAGTCTTCGCTATATTCGATGAGAGCACCGGAAAGCGACGCGTTACCATTACGCCACCAGGCCAAGCAAGCTACGCAGTTTGGAAGGTTAAACATCAGCTAATACATTATATTATGTCACTTAAAGGCTTACATTTTCCCAGCTTACAACAGAACAATCAATGATACACGTGCACAGTAGACATTTTACTATGAGTTTATGCTGCTATAAATTTGCACAGTTCCCGAAGATGCTTGTGTGACTTGGCTGATCTATATCGCAAGAGGAGTGGGTTTCTGTGTTGTATTTGGGTATTTCCCTACTATTCTTCGCCAAAAGGATAGTTGAATTTCAACAACCCATTTAATCCGCCTACCCAACCATCATCTTCATCCAATCCCGTCTTTGAGCCTCTCATCACAGATGGCACACCACCACCCCACTCATCGTACTTGCGTAGCTCTTCGCCATTGACCCTAACTTCCATGCCGACACCTACTCCTCGACTTCTTCGCCTGCCGTCTATACTAACTTCTAATTCCCTGCCCCTATTCTTCTCACTGAGGCGTAATGTAATCGGCGTGTTCGAGGGTAGGACCAATGGTCTGAACGACAAGCTTCGGGGGCAGATTGGTGTCATCAGCAGACTCGAGACGAGAGGATGCACGATACATCCTCCAGAACTCAGACTATATGCCGTACTCCCCGTCGGCGTAGATATTATCATACCATCTGCCACGGCTTCGGTAAGAAACCGACCACCAACGAAGACCTCAATGATCGCCAAATGCGCTTCCTTGCCTCGATGTATCACGACCTCATTCATAGCATGTACATCCCCTTCGGCGCTCTCCAGCGTATTATCCCCAATGACTCTCTGCCCATCCGCATCAAACACCCCAACCTTCAGCCGGTTTCGCAGCAGCACTTTCGAGCTCCTTGTTGGCCCCATGCTCTTCCCCCTCACACTCTCCCACCCATTCCCCTTTCCCTTTCCCTTCCCCATATCAATAGAAGTTAGAACGTGCGGATGTTTATCATCCTGCACCAGATGTGAGCCGGCGCCAGCGCCGGACATGTAGACTTCTCGAAACGCGCGCTTGTATTCGGAAAACTTCCACTCGCCAAGGAATCCGAGCGTGCCCATGCTGAACGAGAGGATGGGTGGGACGTTGACCTCGGCGCTGAAGAGCGAGGAGGCGTGCAGAATGGTGCCGTCGCCGCCAAGGGTGGTTGCCATGTCGACTTTCTGCAGGAAATTGGCATGGTTTGTGGTTGAGTATATGGGGAAGGGGAATTTGGTGTGTAATTGGGCGGCGACGATGGGTTCGAATATGAGGGAGACGTTGATGTAGTTGGAGTGGATGTGTCTGGTGCTTGTTAGGTGGCAGTTCAAGTGAGTGTTGTGGAGAAAGGACGTACTTCGCATATTCAATAAGGGACTCGGTGACGCTTGGAGTGCCATCCTTCTTCACCATGAGGATGTTTCGAGGTGGTTCTGGCCATTGTAGTGCTACGAGGTCATTTCCAGGACTTCCTTACCAACGTCAGTCTCTCATCAATACTGCCGAGGAATCAATTCGAACCATGGTATTTGGGTAGTATCCTATCTGCTAAACTCTCTAGATCTTTGATCCCTCTCTTTCTAGCTGTATTTGAAAAGCATCTCCAGCTTGTCCTTGGGGCTCTCCTAAGGATCATCGCGCGAAGACCACACACAGTGCCAAGATAATTACTCGAGGAAAAAAGTCCGTTGCGAATTCTTAGCCGGACGTTGCACTGAGGCGGGGCATTTTACTGCTTTCCAAGCTTATTGTAGCGACGCTCACTCTGTGGTGAAATGAAGACACTGTTAATCAGTGATCATGAAACTGTTGTCTATACAAGGTGTCGTTTAACCGGACTCATTCATTGTTCGCGGATCTATGCCCCTGCAATCACGATAAGCATCATGTCCCGTCTTGACGTAGCGCTCTGGTGGGCTGGCTGAGATACTTTCAGTAGTGAAACTTGCTTGAACACTTCACTCTTTTGCTTCATACTTTATAGATACTGTCTATATATGGCGAATCATGCTAGCACAGTAGCCTTTTGGTGATTCACTGGTACCGAAGCTGGACATACAGCGTGGCTGGATCATACGACGCACGATAGTCTGCCTACCAGCTGCCCACTAAGACACCAAACAGCTGCGTGACTGCCACACTCGGACCTCGCGCAAGATATAAGGAAGTTGGTAGGGCATTGCAGAATGTCAGTAAAGATGGCTTCCGAACCATCCATGCGACGTAAACCTGCTGAGGAGCAGAATATAACGAAACCGGAGACTCCAGCCGTGATCAAGAGCTTGAGGAAGAGTCGTGGGGTCAGGGTTGACCATCCTGGTGGAGAGATCAAGCATGGTCTTGGGATGCAGATTTTGAGAATCATTCTTGCTACGATATATACCATTGCGACATGTATCTCGTAAGCTTCGCTACCGCAGGTCTCTATCACAGCTAATGTTGTAGGATCGTTACGACACAGCTCGTGGGACTACCGCTATACTGGTACAATAAGGACCTCTATTATGCCTATATGGCACTTACGAAACAGTCTTTTGGCATATATGTCACATCATTCACACAGTGGTGGAGTCCGACTGTCGTTCGCATAAGTGGTGATGCTTCTGTAGCTGGAGAGCTGGTCAAGACGGAGAATGGCGGTGTACAACTTCAGTTTCCAGATAGACTGGTCTTGATAGCGAATCACCAGGTAGGAGACACACGCAAGCTGGACAAAATAGAATACTGACAAGAACAGTTATACTCAGACTGGTTATATCTCTGGTGGGCAGCATACACTAATAAGCGGAAGATGCATGGCCACATATATATCATCCTCAAGGAGTCTCTGAAGCATATTCCAATCGTTGGATGGGGCATGATGTTTTATGGCTTCATATTCATGTCGAGGAAAATGGCTACAGATCAGCCACGGATAGCTCACAGATTGAACAAGCTGAAGGAGAGGCATAGTGGGCCACTGTCAGGAGAAAAGGGACTTGATCCTATGTGGCTTTTGCTGTTCCCAGAAGGAACAAACGCCAGTCCTAATATGAGGATCAAGAGCGCCGAATGGGCTGAGAAGACTGGGGTGGCAGATGTTAAGCACACACTGCTTCCTCGTAGTACCGGGTCTTTATTCTGCTTGAATGAGCTCGAGAATACGGTAGACTATGTGTACGACTGCACTTTGGCGTACGAGGGTATTGAGTAAGTACCTCAAGGTCACTCTGGAAATCATGCTAACGATCTTAGATGTGGTGAATATGGGCAAGATCTTTATACCCTCCGCTCGATGTACTTCGCTGGTCAGCCTCCGCCATCAGTCAACATGTACTGGCGTAAATTCGCTATCAAGGACATCCCTTTGCAAGACGGAGAGAAATTCGATCTCTGGCTTCGAGAACGATGGTACGAAAAAGATGCGATCATGGAAGAATACGCCTCTACAGGCCGCTTCCCGGTTTCACCGAGCGAGTCTGAGGAGGATTTCATCGAAACTGAAGTCAAGCTGTCGCATAGATGGGAGGTGGGTAACATCTTTGTGGTTCTGGCGGCGTTAGGTCTGATTTTCAATCTTCTTGGGCGTGCTTGGAGCGTGGTGGGGTTTGGGAAGAGGTGATACCCAGGTTATCCTCATCAGCAGGAGCATAGCCAGTGCAGCGCGTATAGCATTCATGCATGGGAGCGATGGTTTTATAGCATAGGTACTTCACTCAAGCAACTTTCACCCAACACCCATGCATGGCAGGATGCCCCCTGCTTCACGCTTTACTGTCGTCTTACCTACTCTTGTACTTTCAAATTAAAACACCTTGCAATCCACCAGTCTAGCTGGTAAGATGGCACCATACGCTTTCAACTTCTGCTTCCTTATAGTAAACAAATCATGAACTAGCCATGTCCAAGCCTGTCTACAGATCACAAGTGGATGAAGAGAGCACTCTGCCACCTAGAAACTTCTTTGTTCTCACTTTGCACACCTGGACACATCACATACACTAGGTGAAGGAATTGATGGGGTAGGGACCATCGCCAAAATCTCAAACTTCGTAAATCATCAAAATCCACCCCCAATGACATCTTATATCCCTCGCACGACACGTAAAAGGGCTGAAAATGATACTGTCAAGCGTCTTGAATATACTTTTGATCTAAAGACAGAAGCCGATATCGTGGGCTCAATCTGACGTTTACCTAAAATCAACATACCTCCTGTGTCGGTGGCTCAAGCAACGCGAAACTCAAGGAAACTACATTCGAACGAACGAAAATAAGATCATCTAAGTTAGGGAGGAATTCCACAGTATCTGCAGCAACTCATGAAACGATTACTGATCAAGCCATTTCGATCCTTGAAATATCCTGTACAGAACAGGTCGAAGAACTCGAATTACTCTGCAAGCCTCGTGCCTTACAACACCATGCGGCCCAAGCTGGTGCGCGGCAATTTAAGAAAGGATACACATTAGAGATCTCTACCACAAACAAGGAGTTGCGTGTAGAATAAGGTCATAAACACGAGGATAAGACATTGACGGGCTTCTGGAAGGATGAACGATTTACAGATGAGGTACACTTTCTCTCAGAGATACTTCACAACCGGAGTATGAGTTACGATATCCAGGCCAGCAGCAGCGAAAAAAGAACCTCTGAGAGGTAAAATCGTCTGATCCTAAGGTCACTGTCCATTCCGCCCGCTGGAGTCTCGTACAACCACAAACAGCTTCTTGTATTCTACAAGACCCCAAAGAGTCAGCAAAAAAGAATGTCGACCACGCAGACCACACAAGACGATCTAACAAACAGAGGAAGAGTGCAGGCGCAAATAAAAGAGTGGGAAAGCCAACAACCAGCAGCGGAAGTAACACCAAATGAGAACGCAGTATTGCAGGAGTTCTACGCTTGGGAGGTTCTACCGAAGTATTGAATGAGATTGAGGCCTTAAAGGAGCGTTTCCAGCGCCCTATCTTTTTTCAAGAGGATGGTGATCCGTCGCATAGCAATAAATCGACCAATAGCCCTTGCGCCGGCCTCAAA